CCCTGGGGGTGAAGACCCAATGGATGGCCAGATGGGAGTGAGCACAAATTCTAGCCATCCTATGTCCTCCAAACATAACATGTCAGGAGGAGAGTTTCAGGGCAAGCGTGAGAAAAGTGATAAAGACAAATCAAAGGTTTCCAGCTCCGGGGGGTCAGTGGACTCGTCTAAGAAGACCTCAGAGTCAAAAAATGTGGGGAGCACGGGTGTGGCAAAAATTATCATCAGCAAGCACGATGGGGGATCCCCCAGCATTAAAGCCAAAGTGACTTTGCAAAAACCTGGGGAAGGTAGTGGAGAAGGGCTCAGGCCTCAGATGGCCTCTTCCAAAAACTATGGCTCTCCACTCATCAGTGGTTCCACTCCAAAGCATGAACGTGGCTCTCCCAGCCATAGTAAGTCACCAGCATATACCCCCCAGAATCTGGACAGTGAGAGTGAGTCAGGCTCCTCCATAGCAGAGAAATCTTATCAAAACAGTCCCAGCTCAGATGATGGCATCCGACCACTTCCAGAATACAGCACAGAGAAGCATAAGAAGCACAAAAAGGAAAAGAAGAAAGTAAAAGACAAAGATAGGGACCGGGACCGGGACAAAGACCGAGACAAGAAAAAATCTCATAGCATCAAGCCAGAGAGTTGGTCTAAATCACCCATCTCTTCAGACCAGTCCTTGTCTATGACAAGTAATACAATCTTATCTACAGACAGGCCCTCAAGGCTCAGCCCTGATTTCATGATTGGGGAGGAAGATGACGATCTTATGGATGTGGCCCTGATTGGCAATTAAGAACCTTACTTTTTAAGACAAACATGGCCAGAGAAAAACTAATTAAGGTTGTAGGCAAGCCACCGTAAGGGGTGAGTGAGACAGGTCTGATTTTGTGTTTAAGAATCTTAAATGGCATGGCTTTGACAGTGAGCTGGGTGAATTTAGAAAGGCATAGCCAGACCCTACTAAAGAGACCATAGGGTTTGATTCTGGTTTTGAAGAATCACTTGTTCCTTTGCCAGGAAAAAAAAAAAGTTAAAATACTTGCTTATGAAAGGGAGGGGGTGGGAGGGACATAGGGAGAGGGAAGGGTGGGAAACAGTTTTGTGGGAAATATTCATATATATTTTTTCTCCCTTTTTCCATTTTTAGGCCATGTTTTAAACTCATTTTAGTGCATGTATTTGAAGGGCTGGGCAGAAAATGAAAAAGCAATACATTCCTTGATGCATTTGCATGAAGGTTGTTCACCTTTGTTTGGGTAGTTGTCCATTTGAAGCATGGGCAAATGAAGGACTTTGGTCATTTTGGACACTTAAGTAATGTTTGGTGTCTGTTTCTTAGGAGTGATGGGGGGGAGGGAAGATAATTTTAGCTATTTATTTGTAATATTTTAACCCTTTATCTGTTTTTATACAGTGTTTCTTTCTATTCTATGAGGTTCAGGGTTCAAAATGATGGGAGGTGGAAGAGTAAGGCTTATTTGGTGGTAGTGAGCTTGTAGCTTGTGCTGGTACTGTAGTATCAAGCCCAAGCAGATTAGTCAGGCCCACCTTTGGAGTTTAGTAGAAAAACCAAAATGGTATTTTTGTTTTAGGAGGTTTTTCATAGGGTTCAAACATCATAGGAACATTAGGAGTTACCTCCCTGTGGAGGTATTGATTTATAGTCTTTTTTTTTTCCTTTTAAAAAAAGCTAGGCTAGCTTCTTGGGATATAAACATGTTTCAGATGCAGTAAGGTTTAATGTGGGACAGCCTCCCTGACCCAGTGGCATAAAAACCATTACAGAATTAATAGTTCTCCTATTTCCACAATGTGCCAAAAGTCCACATCCCAGCATTTTGTTTGTAGGAGAACTGATGCCATTCCTGAGAGCTGGGCTCCTTGTTTCTCTTCCTCAGAAGGAGAAGGAGTCCAGACTTTACATCACTCCACTGTATGCTCCCTTAGATAAAACAGTAAAATATTTGCAGCCATAGTTCACTTAAAATAATTTCAAGCTCACTTGAAGTAATGGGGGCCTGGAATGCTAGGTGGGCATGAAGATAAACCCTTGCTACTATGTAGCAACACAATTGGACCTTTTTGGAGGAATAGGTCTGAGTCTGGATTCTGGGGGACATCAATAAGAAGCCTTTCTCATAAATATAGAAATCCAGGAGACCACTTGAGTGCAACACAAGTTCTCAGTATTTGGAGGGTCCTCTCAAAATTCTGCGGCCTTACTTTGATTTTGACACCTGCACTGTGCCATTCCTGATGATTCCATTCAGGATCTGTATCAGCAGGACGGGGCACGGTCCCCAGCACAACTCTTCTGGATTAAAAAGAAAAAAAAAAAGCCAGGTGATTCATTTGTGTGTGTGTGTCATAAATGGAGTGACTTCATCAGATATTGAAGAAGAAGAATTCTATATTCAGCCTCTTCTGCAGGTTGGAGTTAGCATAGAGTTGGAAAATCAGCTTTGGCTTTCTCTCCTGACTGTCTCTGATATCCTCTAGTGTTCTCCCTTTTCTGGTCATCAACTCTCAACAACTCTGCCACTTTTGTGTCCCAAGGTAATAAGAAGTAGGAAATGAAACATTGCAAAGTGGAGCAAGAAAAGTTATCGGTTACCGTATCACAGTCAAATGTCTTGGGTGACACTAAGGAGGACGTGGGCAAGGTGATACCAGAGTGCTTTATCTTGTGATGCTGATACAGTAGCAGCCTCTCAGACATACAACCAGGTTGGATTTCTCACAAGTTTCTCACCTAGTTTTGAATCCTATCCCATTGGTTTCTGCAGGAAAAAAAAAAACAAAAATGTTACATGGTTTTTAAGTTTGTTCTGGGTGGGGAAAATCTTATGGGGAATGTACTACATAGTATCAGGGGCTCAGCTCCCCCAAGCAGAGCCAACAAATACCAAAATGAGTAAACTGGGAAGCTTTTTCTCTCTTTCTGTCTTCATCCCAGATCAAAGAATCCCGAGTTAGGATCTGGATGAAGGATAAGCCCCTGAATTGTCGATGGGCACACCCCACACACTGACCCAGCATCTGAACTTGCTTAACAGGGAGCCGGGGCTAAACTGCTTCACCCTGCCTGAGAACCAGGGAGCACTGCATTTCTCCACAGGGTGGAGGAGAAGAGGCAGAATAAACCAAGCCTGGGACACCTCCCTCCTGTCTAGGTGTACTCATTCTCCTGTTTCAAAAGACGGCAAGGACATGAAGTCAACTTCTACCTATCTTCTGCTGCTGGTGTCTTATGTATTCTTAGTTTGACCTGATTCCTCTTTTGTCTTTTGGCTTCATGTTAGGGGTTCTTGGTTAAAACCTGCTCTGATGTACATGAAGATTTGAGGTTCAAAATTAGTGTGTTTTAAAACAAAAGTATTGGGGGCGTGGGGGGATGAAGCAGGATTTAATTGCCAAAACCAGGCTTGAGGTTGATGACTCTTGGAAAGATTTTCCTTAAGGCCTAGGTCTGAAAATTTAGTGCAGCAATATCATGAACTCTCAGAAGAAACCCTTTCAGGGAGCCAGTGAATCATACAGTATCTAGTTGAGTCACTTAAAGCAGATGCCAGTATATGAAACTCATTATTCACAATCCCTGGGCAATCTCATTTTCTTCATCATTTTTTCTTTTCAAACCCCTTCCCCCCTTATTTCTACGCTTGAGTTAGTTTTTTGAGGGGTAGGAAGTATTTAACATCTCAGAAGCTAGGTTGGGAAACGTGCTCAGCTGTAAAAGTTGGGCTTTGAATTTTGAGTTTTAAAAATGTACATCAGGAGCAGTTGGGGAGGGTCTTTTCTAAAAAAAAAAATCTTTCCAATTTGGTTTTCTGTGCATATGGCCGTTCTGTAAATACTTTGGGGTTTTTCATTTTTTTGAAAGTAGACAAAATCTGTGGGATTTTTTTCCCAAAACATTACAAAAGAACCTGTTTATTTACATGCAAATAAATTTCTTTGATAAAAAGTAATATGTCTACGTGTAATAAATTAACCTTTGAATAATTTTCATTTATTTTGCTTTAAGAGTCCAACCAATCAAAAAAATTCAATCAGACAGCAAAAGTCTTCTCTGAGTATTGCTCGAAATAGGTTAACTGGAAAGGATAACTGACCTAGGGAAACAGACCTGTGAGTTTTCTTCAGTTGATTTATCTGCTCCAGCCAATTTTACTATCTTTTGCAGGCCTTAGTCACCAAATTCATCAGTAGTTCTTGCTGGGAGACAACTGCTCTTAGATGAGAGAACTAAAAGGCTGTTTTTATATGGCTGAAGTGAAGCAATTACATTAAAAGTATCTGCGACAGAACAAGATTTTAACATCTAGACTTGGGTTTGTGGGCCTGAGAATGAGTTTCTGAAACTAGGTTCCCTTCCTAGGAAGCCCTTTCTAGGATAAAAACCGAAATTTTCTTTTAAAAAGTGCTTGAAGAGTTGGGTTATAAGCCTTCCAGCTAAAATATGACCATTTTTAAAGCTCTCCAGCACTAGCTGCTCTTAAATAAGCTCATCTCTTAATCAGATTCTTAACAAGACAGTCACTAGAATTGCGAATTAAAAGAGGTATGAAGCCAAAGTCATATCTGCGTTGGAATACAACTAGGAGCAGTGGTCCTGCCAGGACTGCTGGAATTTATGACATAGCTCTTAATATTTTATCTTTGGTGCATGATTCTGTAGGTTGTCGCTCTTTTAAGGGTAAACTCTTATTCCTTAATTCATGGTAATTCGATCATAAGTTTCGAGACCTTAAGCGCTGGAGTTGCTAAAGTATAAAAGTATGATGATAGACGCTAGCTTCTATAGACTGAGCCAAGAAGTCAGATGAATGTCATAGTTTTAGCTCGGCAACCCCCCGCCCACTCGTTCAGACACGCTTGTTTCTCCCGCCAAAGTGGCGTCAGGATCAGGTTCTCACCAACCAGAGCCCTGATTGGAGGACGGACAGGCACTAGAGCCCATTGGGCGCCAGCGGCGGTCGGGCGGCGAGGGGCGGGGGAAGCCAAAGGCCCCTCTGCCTCGCCCGCCCCCACCTTCACCAAAGTGCGCCCCTCCCCCAGCTAAAGGAATGGTCTCCCAGCTCCAGCACTGCACTCCCTGACCCCAAGGCTCGAGGTGCGGCCTTACTGGATATACCCGGAGCAGAGGGAAGCGCAATTATCCCCTTGCCCTCCTGATCCATGCACAGGGAGACCCACGCCCCGCAGCGGCCCCCCAGGCCTCCCTGCAACACCCGGTAATGCAATCCACGGGGGCGGGGGAGGCGGCGGCATCGGCAGCAAAGGCGGCGGCAGCAGCAGCAGCAACACTGCCCCAATCTAGAGACAACCAGAAAGAGGAGGAAAATGGCTCCGAGCAGGGACCGCCTGCTGCACTTTGGGTTCAAGGCGACAGTGAGTGACAGGGGAAGGGAGTTGGGTGGCCGGGAAGGACAATGTATGCCAGCACAGGCTACCGGGGAAGAAGCGACAAGACTTATGGGGTTGGGAAGACAAGCCAGAAAGCTCAAGTGCTTGCTGGGTTGGTGCGTGCTGTTTGCTCGCAGAGGGGAGAAGAGGGGGCCCCAGTGCTGTGTGCAGTTGTCTTGCTCTCCTCTCTCTCACCGGTCCGCGAGCACGCGCGCACTCGCACCCGCCCCACAGCCCCTCCCAGACACAAATACACAGACATATAGGCACTTCCCTGCCTCTCCTTCTCGCGGTGGGCTTGCGTGCCTTGGAGGCCAGAGCGGGCTGCGCCGCCGCCGCCGCCGCCGCCGCCGCGCTCCGGCTGCTCCCGGCCGGACGGTCGCGGGCTGCGCCCGGGAGTGGGGGAGGGGTGGTCCCGCGCCGCCGCCGCCGCGGCCGCCGCCGCCGCGCGCTCCTCCTCCCCCCTCCCCACGCAGTCCCGAGGCCCGGGCGGCTCTGCCCAATGAGGAGCGGCGTTGCTGGCAGGTGGGGAGTGTTTTTGTTTTGGGTTGAAGTTGAGGCTGAGGAGAGAGCAGAGCTAGCGACGAGCAGTCGTCGCCGCCGCTGGGGCCGCGGGAGGTGGAGGAGGCCCCGCCGGAGTCGAGAGGTCTCCCCTCCCCGCCGACGGCCCCTGCCCGCCGCTCCTCGGCCTCCTCCGGGTGCCGGAACTCCTGGGCCTGCCCGGGGCCCCCGTCTTTGCACTCCGCACGCCGCAGCGCCCGGCCACGGCCGCACCCGCCGGCCCCATGAGGAGGGACGTGAACGGAGTGACCAAGAGCAGGTTTGAGGTGTGAGCTTGGGGGGGGCTAGGGCGGCGTGAGGAAGACGATTGCTGCTCTCGTGCCCCGAAAAATTCGCTCCTACAGAGCCTCCTCCCTTGCCTGGCGCCGTCACCCGCCGACCGCTGGGGCTGCCAGACTTCTTTCCCCTTTTTCGCGACCCGAAAGCCCAGGGCAGCCCGGCTTCCCTATCCCTCCGGGCTGGTCGCCTCCTGGTTCTTGCCTCAGCGGGCCCCGGCGGGGGATTAGCTCTGGCGCCCTAATTCCCCCCTCACCCCCCCCCTCCCCTCGTATCACTCAGTTTTCCATTCTTTGTACAATCCTTGGCTTGTCTCCCTCCACCCGGCAGAAGCAGCATCACAGCTCCGGTCGATCGGAGCCGGCTTGTTTTCTTTCTGCCACCTTCTCGAAGCGTTTCTTCCTGAAGCGAGGGGGAGATGATGGGCCAGGGGGCCATTGCTCCGAGTTTGAGAGACCTTGGTTGAAACTAGGGAAGTGGAGGTGGTAGACTGGGATGGTGGAGACGACCACGGGTTTTCGGTGCTGTGTTTGGTTTGGGTATTGTTCTGATACTTCCTCTTCTTTCCCGTTTAGTCTGTACTTCTGTAGCTCATTGTTTCTGGAACTCTTAGATGTGTACAGGCTTTGAGATTGGGACGAAGGTCTGAGAGACTTCAGAAAATCCATTCAAGTATGTTTGTCTCTAAAACTTTTCCTTCTCTGGCAAGAGAGGTTTATAGTCTTGGAATTGAGGAATGGATGTAGAAATAAGAAAACATCTGAAAGCGTCTTTAGAGAGTAGTTACCGTGTAGGGAAGTAATTCCTTTGGGAAGTGAAGTATTGTATTTACAGATGAATTATGGTAGTACGGTAATAGGCAGGTGGGTTTATTTAGGGGATAAAAGAGAGAAAGAAACTTCTACAACACGAAGAGTAAATGTTACCTGGCCTTTTCTGGCGGAGAATCAGGCTGACCTGGGATCAGTCACAGCTCAGTGTACATCTCACTTGGTGTTTTTCTTCATTTCCATTTGAAGGATGAAATTGTAAGACAGTGAGACACAAGTTTCAGGAAACTTGCCAACTAGGTGCAGAGGGTGAAATTGTTACCTAGGGGTCTTCAGTTTAGTCTATTCTTTGATTTCTTTTCATGCTTATGGGAAAAATATTTTAATTTATCCACAAAGATAAAGATAGGAAGTGTTGGGGGAGGTTTAAATTCAGAGCTACAGTATTACTCTTGGCAGGCGAAGAGTGGAGAAAGTCAAGGAATTGTTCTCCTTAGAGTTTTCATATTTAATTTAGCGGGAAGAAAGTGTTATAGTAGATATGATTTGGTGTTTAATAGAACTTTATGTTGCCCTAATGTAGAGAGGCCCAATAAGCTTCATTGATGGTGGTTTCATATTCAATACTACTGTAAAAGTCCAGACTGTCATTAAAATTACTGAATAGACATTTAGCAGTTAGGACTCTTGAAAGGGAAACTCAAATACTGACGATTTGAGTGAGGGATAGCCGTTTGCTATTGCAGTCAGCTCTTTATCATTTTGCTATTCACTTTTAGGTTGTGTAACTGTTGGAAAGAGTTCTTTTATAGTACATGCTTTAAAATTGCACTGTTATATCCTATTTTTATAACTATCTTATTTTTTAATTTGTAGTTTGTAGTGGTGGTACTAAAATAATAAGAAAATTTATTGCTTTATTAAACATATTCATTAACCTTGATTGGTATGTAACTGGCACCTAAGGTTTCTAAACGTGTCTGAGAAGATAAAAAAGAATTAAGAGGAGGAGGGAACCCCCTTGTACATTGTTCATGATTAAAGTGTTTATTTATAAACCAAAAGCTACTCTTTTATTATGATGTGAGGTATTCCATGCCTGAATACAAATGAGAAGGGCTGGACATGATGTATGTTAATGAGTTTCATTATCTGAGTATTTCTTAAAATCATTTACCTCTTTGCTGACCTAATTTACAGGTAGCAAAACAAACTCTTTGGTCTCTTATGAAGTAATAAACTTACTGCTAATTCAATGAAAACATTTAAAATACTTAGTTTCAGTGGATAAATGACGTAGATAAAGCAGGCTTTTCATATCTAAAACATTTACATCAAATTTTTTTAATTCTCAAAATTACAGGATGCTTTTTAAAGGACGATAATTTTATGGGTGTAAGTGGATAGCTGATCTCTGAGAATTTTTGTGAATGCAGGAAATTTTTATAGCAGATAAATAATTTGAAAGTAGTTATGATTCATACAAAAAGTGAAAGATTTTCTTTTTCTTGGCCACATTGTTTTTTAGAGGGAAGATAGCTGAAGCTTATCTTTTTATGGTTGATTCATTAAAATCTTTTTGTAAGGAATATTCTGTGTTTTATGCTTTTGGATGTTGTAACTGGAGGCCACACACTTTAAATCTCACACTCAGGGGTAGAACTGTAGAAAAAAATTAAGTAAAATCAAGGGAGAAGAGTATCTGTTAGCCAGATGTGGAGCATTCTGTGGAATGACCAAAGTAGATGACTGTTGGATAAAAGTTAAAAAGATGTAGAGATATAAAAGTTATTGTTCTTTGCTGTATCACTTTTGCATTAAATCTATGCAGTAATAACCCTTGTGAGTTCACTTTTGCATTAAATCTATGCAGTAATAACCCTTGTGAGTTAACATAGTGTGTGCTGAATTGTTTGCTTCTTAATTGAAATTCATCATTCAAATACTTTTTATTAAATTACTTATAGTAAACTTAGTTTTGTGGCAAATTTTGATAATTTCCTTTCAAATTGAGTAACGGTTCTTGAAAGCCAGGCACTGAGCTAGATGTTTTACCTCAGTTCCTTCTGATTCTCACAATTCTATTTTACAGTTCAGGAAAGCTAGAGACTGAGAACTGTTCAGTTGTACAGCCAGTAAGTGGGGGAGCCGAATTCCAATCTGCATTTTTTTGACTCCACTCTATCATTCTGCTCTGTTTTTAGCATAACATACCATAAAATGTGTGGAAAAGAGCTTTCCTGAAGTTCTTTATCCAGTATATTTTATTTTGTCTTTGCTATCAAGAGAATGAAGCTATCCTTCCTTTAGAGTACTTTAAACTCTGCTATCTTAACGCTCAGTGAGATTAATGACAGATGTGTAAATATCTAGGCTAGCCCTTGAATCAAGTTTAGATTTTTTTTTCAGTTAAGCTTCTCTAGTTTGTCATACTCTTAGTAGCTCCATTATAAGAATAGTACTACTATTGGAAGAAAAATTCTGTCTGGGGTTTATTAAAAAGTCTAATATTTAAAAAAAAAGATTATAGTGATAACATTAACTGACATTCAGATAATATTTTAAAGTAGACTCACATAGTTAGGAAATGATAAGCTTCAATTTGGGTGTTTTGAATCCCTCTTAGTTATTGTGTTTCATCATACCTCACTGCTGCTCTGCTAAATTTATAATATTACAAGCCTGTGAGGTTAGGTTGTAGTATTTCTTTGCCTGCTTCATTTAATCAATCCACTTTGCCCAAAGTAAGAAAAATCATCAAATGTGGTATGGCGGAAAGAACATACTGCATTGGGAGTTGAGAAATGGATATTAATTAATCTTGATTTTTGCCACCAACTGACTATAACTTTGGTCGTTTCTTTTCACTTATGTGGTTTGGTCATTTCCCTCCTTTGCAAAACAAGAGAGTTAGAATCAATTATTAAGGTTCCTTTTGTTCCAGAATCCTTTGAATTTGTAATTTTTTAATAAAAGCAGTGGACCATATTTCCTTGGCCATTTCTTCTGAAACAGCCACTCCAATATTAAAGTTTGTAGACTAAGTTGCACAGTACTGTTAAGGCTGCACTAATGACCTTTCTTCTCCCTTATGGTTTTATCTTCTAATCTAAAGAACATTCTGCATAGTAAATATTCCAAATTGGTGCATGTAGAAAATGTTATATATTTTTCCATGGGTGAAAGTCCTTTGTTTCACTCTGTTTGAAAGGCCTTGCAGTGGGAATGAGTACTATTAAAACTAAGGAATTTTGTTTTTAACACTTTAGAGATTGGTTTGAAAGCAGTTATTTAATGTTATAGAAAATCCAAATTAGATGTCTAGGCTTTTTAGGCCCATTCGGACAATCTGTCCTTTTTGAATATTGATGTTTCTTT